CTTGGCCATGCAAGAAATCACGCGATTTTTTAATTCAAAGTCATCATTTCCAGTAATAAATGGAGTAAAAAGGCCTAACGTGCTTAATTACGAGTTTTATGAAAAATAAAATTTTTAAACCTAAAAGTAGGCTTTAGAATTTTTTTTATAAATTTCTAGAATGCCTAAAAGTATGCACTACATTTTTTTATTAAAATAAAAATTTATTAGTTTTTAATTACTCCAAGAAAAAATATTTTTTTACCAAAAAGGTAGGCTAAAATAAAAATTCTAAATAATTCTAAATGATTTTATTAGTATTCAATGAAAAAACCTAAAATTAGGCTTTAGAAAATTTTTATAAATTTCTAGAATGCCTAAAAGTAGGCACTACATTTTTGCATAAAATAAAAATCCAAAATATTATGGTTTCCTAACTGATTTTATTAGTATTCCATGAAAAGAAAAATCATATTTTACAACCAAAAGTATGCTTTGGAAACATAATAGAAAATGTTTAAAGGCCTAAAAGTAGGCACCACATTTTTTCATAAAATACAAAATTAACATATTCTAATAATTACATTAAAAATAATATTGTTAAACCTAAAAATAGGCATACAAAATTAAAATTTAATTTTTTGGGCCCCTAAAAGTAGGCACCATTTTTTTATAGAATAAAATAAGTCAAAAATATTCAATATTTAGGAAATTTTTGTTGTAAATTTGTAATTTTGAACAAAAATAGTGTATTTAAAAATTTTCAAAATTTAATTTTGAACAAAAAAAAAGACTATTTAAAAATTGCTACCTAAAAGTATGCTATAAAAAATTATTTTTGTTTTTGAAAATTATCATTTGAACCAAAAAACTGCTTCCCATTTAGAAAGTACATCTTACTTTGCTCGATTTTCCATAATTTATTTTATTTCAAAATAGTATTGCCTACTTTATAGGGCATTTACAGCCCCTTTACTCTCCCCAGAAAAATTTTCCCATGCCTCCACAAGCAAAACAACAAAAATAGAAAAAAATCCGCATCATAAAATTGCTATCAAATAACGATTGACTTGATTTCTGTCAGTTACCTTTATTTCTTTTATCATGCAGCAGCATGCCCAGCATGTTTACCAACACAAAAAAAAAAAAATCACAGAGATATGATTTTATGGCCAAAAAATCTCCAACAACAACATCATCATCAGCATGATCTGCAGGAAAAAGTTCTGCATACGATAATAAAGATTCGGGGGCAAGAAGTAACTTTACAAATGATCGGTAAGATCGGCAGAGGGAGACGATGCGAGAAACATACGCTTTATCCATATAACACACATTATATGATGATCGGTTTTTGGCCCAGCCAGCCAGCAAGTCATCTCAGCCCAAAGAATACCACGTTATACTACATAGTCACGATTTCTGGTTTACAATGATTTTTCCCCCTGTTGTCTGTCTGTCGGTTGTTTTTGGCGATCTTTGTTTTTCTTCAATTTTATTTTTTTTCTTTCTGGGTTCCTAGAGAACCTTATTTTTTTGTGCCTACTTCTCTTCCTAGTTGTAGTTTTATAGCTGTTTTGTAAACAGTATGCCGAGCATGAATAAAAACTACAACTAACACATGTTAAAAATTGGCCATACCAGCACCATATGCCCGGCCATGCCATGCCCGGGCTGCTAAGATAATCTTTGTGGTGAAGAGGTTCTTAACTAAAAAAAGGAAAAACTTTTAGGCCAGTTGTTCTTCTGCCAAAGATAGTGGACAATGCCTAAAAGCTTGTAAAGGAAAAAAGGGTAGAAAAACAAAACAACAGATTATAAAACTCAGGGTATTCGGCAATCAGCATCTGTTAATCTAAGGAGGAAAATTTTTAGATTTTTATTTTTTTTTAAATTTTTTTTATTTTCCTTTTTTAATTTTTTTATATTTTTAATGATCATTAACTATGTGTTGTTGTGCTTAAAGATATCGTGTTATATCAATAACCGAAAAAGGGTGGATCTCAACAAATAAAAATGTTTTATATACTCCCTTTTTATCAACAACGCCAACAACAACAGCAAAACCCACAAACATCTTCTTATTCCCCATAAGCCAAGCCATGATTGTGGCACGTTTTTATTTCGGAAAACCAAAACCAAATCCAGTTTCTTGGCTTTCTGATATATATTTTGTTGTTTTTTTTTGCTGTTGCCAAGAATTTACAACTATGTATGCCATCTCAATAGTGTTTTTGTATTTTGGGGCCATAACACCCGCACTCCAACCAAAAATGCCAAGCCATGGAGTAGAAAAAAATCTCTTCTGTGGCCTGATGACGTCGTGTGTGTAAGGATGCTTGCAGGGTATAGACGGACAGACAGACAGTAAGGCAGCCAGCCAGGTCGAAAAGAGCCCAACTATTGTCTTGTATTACACATTGGCCATCACCATCATGCCAATACCTACCTACATATCTACCTTAGACGGTTCGCAACCAAAAAAATTTTTTTCTGCCATTAACCTTATTGTTTAACAATTGTTGTATTTATATATTTTTTATTTTTGTTTTATATGAATTTCATTGTTGAAAATCATTTGCCATAATACCAATAAGACAATAAGGCTTTTTTGGAATATTCGGGGCGAAAAAAAGGAAAATAAAATCGATACATATGGTCAAACTGGAAACGGGTTACAAAGGCTGCTATGGCTGAGTCATTGGTCTTATTTTTGGTGGTGAACCTTTAAGGCAAATTATTGGTGGGAAAAATTATTAAATATAGCAACAATAACAACAACAAAAAATAAGAATTAAAAAAAATAAATAATTTTAAATTAAAATAAAAATAATAATTATGCGAGCCTAAAAGTAGGCACCATATTTTATTTATTATTGTTTCCAAATATAGTCTTCTCAGCCTTAATTGAAATCTGCTCAATAATATTTTAAACTCATAATAAGATAGGAATTCTTTGAGATTTTCCCAATTCCAAAAAAAAATATATATATGTAAAAAATTTGTTTGTAACAAACTAAATTAAAAACATTTAAAATAATGCCATTCATGCTCTATAGTTTCAATATTCACCACTTTTTCTATAATTTTTGATATTTTGTCTACGTCCTTTAAAAATTGAGGTCCCTAAAAGTAGGCACTGAAATTTATTTGTAATAAAAAAAAATACCAAAAAGAAAAATGTATTGCCATGACATCCATGGTTTGTAGTTTCTAAAATCATAATTATTTGTATTTTTTGCTATTTTTTCTACTTTCCCTGATATTCAGAGCCTAAAAGTAGGCACAGATTTTTTTTAAATAAGTCTAAAAAATTCAAATAAATTATAACAACAATAACAAATTAAAATAAATTTAAAATCCTGCTTATTTGTAGATTTTTCTATTGTTGTTCTTCATTCCTTAAGAAATTGAGGGCCTAAAAGTAGGCACTACAATTTGAAATTTATTTTTTTGTAATTTCTTCCTTGTTTTCTAATTTAGTACTATGGTCAGTAGTCTTTAAAATCCCTCTTATTTGTAGATTTTTCTATTGTTGTTCTCCTTTCCTTAACAAATCGAGGGCCTAAAAGTAGGCACTAAAATTTGAATTTTATTTTTTTGTAATTTCTTCCTTGTTTTCTAATCTAGTACCGTTCTATGCTCCACAAAGCAAAATTAATAGTATTTCTTTGACTTAAACAAATTTAGATGCCTAAAAGTAGGCACTGGATTTAAAAAATTAAGAAAATAATTTTCTTAAATAAATTAAACAATACTAAAATGTCATCCATGGTCGGTAGTTTATAAATTTAATTTTTATATATTTTTTTGCTGTTTTTTCAACTATCTAAAAAAATTTAAAGCCTAAAAGTAGGCACCACAATATTAATTTAATGATTTTTGGCCCTTTTTCTAAGCTGTTCCCTCTCCTATCAGCGTGAAATTGAAAAATGTTTTTATCTTGTTGTAGTTGTTGTTGTTGTTACTGTTCATCAAAAGCCATCAAAAGCCAGCAACCGTGCATCGAACATTGAAGTTTCATGATACACATGTTTAGATACGTGGCGACATAAAATTAAACACACTTAAACATTTTTCTTTTGGAGTCTAGTTTGTTTTTGCTATCCAACAACAACAACCGAAATACCCCAAAAACACTGCATGTTCGAGTCTTGGCAAAATTCGTGTCTTACAGAAATTTCAAAAACAGCACAAAACCCACCCCACTCCACCTTTTCCTAAATCCTTTATTGGACCCATTGATTGTTTACATTTGCAGAGCCCTTTTTTTCGGTTTTAACCGTATTAAGCGCCTAGTTTACTTGACTTGGGGAGGGGGAAACAAAATCTCTTTTTTTTCGGGCTAACATTAATTGAAAGCCATTAAAGGTAATTTTATGGGAGGCGTTAAGCCATGAAACGTGTAACATGGCCATTGACATGATGATGGCTAAGAAAAAAAATAGGCAAGACAACATTTTGAGACATGAAGAAGAAGACATAGCTGATGATGCTCTGGTTTTGCAACCAGGAAGACCAGAAGAGTTAAGTGAAACGACAGCAGCCAAGATATTGTCTGAAAAGCCTGTGAGGCTCTTAGACAAGACAATGTCGCAAAAAAAGGCTGATTTCTTTTTTTTCTACTAGAAAAGGGATATCTAGGGATTTTATGTTTAAGGTATGTGTGTGTGTGTTGTTGGCTGGCCCATCCAGTTCACATGGTATGGTAAAAATATAAACAGAGATTAGCAAAACAGCAGCCTAAGGATTTATATACACGTTTTCTTTTTTTCTTGGCGAACACAAAAATTCGGGTCAAAATCCATGTTAAGATGTAATGCGAAAGGGTTTTTTTTTTTATTTTTTTTCAAAACTGCTAACAAGCTTGCTAAACATTGTTGGGAATTTGTTGGAAATGTTGTTCAAATAGCACTCTCAGCTAGGAGGGTTTAGAAACTATTTTTTTAAATCGATAATATTTTTATTAATTTTTTTTATTCTATATTTTTTATTAATTTAAAGTTTTATTTTTTTTCCAGGTTGCAAATCATTTTTCAAACGTTCGGTGCGCCGCAATTTAACCTACTCCTGTCGGGGGAGCAGAAATTGTCCCATCGATCAGCATCATCGGAATCAATGCCAATATTGCCGCCTCAGAAAGTGCCTCAAAATGGGAATGAGACGTGAAGGTAAGTTCGCTATTTCTATTTACATTTCTCTAGACCGTCTGTCTGTCTGTTCTCTATTTCTGTCTCTCTCTGTCTTCATTCATTGTATGTTGATTGGTTGTATGGGGTCAATTAAAAGTCAAATTGTATGAAAAAAATAAAAACGGCTGACCATTTGTTCGTCATTGCAAAAAAATGGGCTATTTTTTGCGCTGCTGATCTAATCTTTGATCACAAAATTTTTTCGGTCTCTCTCGTTGTTTACATTTTTTTAAAAATAAAACGGAAGTAGCACGAGTTTGCTAGCCAAAATGTCAAATAATTGGCATATATTTGTTGGATTTTTTTTTCAATTCGATACCATTTTTTTCATTCTCTTGTTGATTTGTATTGCAAATTACTTTGTACTTTGTGACAAGTGTGTAAGAATGTGTGTGTCTGCGTTCTATGAATTACACCCTATTGTGGTGTTGCTCTATTTAAAAAAAATGGCAACGAAATGAAAGCGAAATTCTTGTTGCGAAAAAGCATTTTTTTCTAATGCTTCTAAGCGGATTATGTTAAATAAGTATTTAGCTAAATATGGCAAAACATGTGTCTTCAGTTTTTTTTTTTTCAATAGAAAAAGGGGTTGCTCTAACTGCTTAAGTAATGATCACTAACTCAGCTAGGTTGCCAAGTTTCATGGAAGATAATTTCCTAAAGGTTTCATAAGAAAAAAAGCTCAAAAAAGCTCAAATTCCTTGAAATAGACACAAAACAACTGATTTGTTGGTAATCAAAGCATACTTTTAGGAGTTCGAGTTATAAAAAAAAGAGTTTTCAAAACGGCCTTGAAACAATTCTGAAATAAATTTAGCTACAATTTAATAAATTTGAAATTTATGGCGAATTTTGAAAATTGCCGAATATTTGTAGCATACTTTTGGGTACCAATTATTAAAATTTCAAGGCATAAACATGGATTTCCTATCAAATTAAGGCTTATTTGGTGTAACATTTGATATTTCACGAAATTTTATGAGAATTTATAATTTTAGGAATTTTGCAGCATACTTTTAGGAGCCTTGTAAAAAAATCTAAAAATTTCAATAGTTTTATTTAATATTTGAATATTTCAATAGTTTTTTTTTAATATTTAATACTTACATGGATTAAAAAAATGCCATTTTGAAATATTTTTTTTAAGAAATTGATACTTTTTAAATTATCTTGTATACTTTTAGGGACCTTGTAAAACCAATTTCTGGACATTTTAATAGGTTTCTTTAATATTCTAAGTTTATATCAAAAATAATTTGCTATCTGCAGTCATTCAGTGTAATATTGGCATTTCTTAAATTTGAAATTAGTATTTTTTTTAATTTTGTTGCCTACTTTTAGGAGCCTTATAAAACCAAATTTTCGAAATTTCAATAGATTTCTTTAATATCTTATGAACAGACATTTTCTATTTTCAGTCAATCAGTGTAATATTGGCATTTCTTAAATTTTATTGCATACTTTTAGGATATTTGTAAAAATGATTTCTCAGGACCTAATCAATTTCCCTGATATTTAGTTAATATTTTTTAATTTTTTTTCTTAGTTAATATTTTTTCACATTTTATATGGATTTTAAAAAAGTTTGCAAAATTTGTAGCATATTTTTAGGAGTTCACATTTTTTACAAGCATACATTTGGGAGTTTTATGCCTTTTTTCCTCATATTTCTTAATCGAAGTGGCTGATATGAAGTTTTCTTAAACAATTGTTAAGATATATTAATTCAAAAATTTAATTCATTTTATTATAGCATACTTTTAGGCTTACAAAACATCTTATTTAATATTTTTTCACATTTTATATGGATTTTACAATTTTTGCAAAATTTGTAGCATATTTTTAGGAGTTTAAATTTTTTACAAGCATACATTTGGGAGTTTTATGGCTTTTTTCCACATATTTCTTAATGGAAGTAGAAGATATGATGTTTTCTTAAACAATTGTTAAGATTTATTAATTCAAAAATTCAATTCATTTTACTATGGCATACTTTTAGGCTGTATACGAAATATTTTTTTTGGAAAAATGCAATTTTAAATAATTTCTCATTACTTTAATCATTAAAAAAATTAATTTAAATATTTTTTCTCTCAATTTTGTGAATTTTATTTTATGTAGCCTACTTTTAGGGGCCTCCTCGAAAAAAAAAACTGTATTTTGTATTTTCCTTTTTAATTGAAATGATTATGAAAAAATTCCATAATTTCCGAACATCTAATCATTAGCCATTATCAGTATTCTAAATTGTGCAATACTATTTGTATACGCAACATACATAAATTATAGTTTTGAAAATTGAATGAACAACAACAACAACTAAACTGCCATCAATTAAACATGAAATGGTGTTAGTTTTGAAAAAAAAACAGTCACCTTTTTATTGACCTCCTCGTTTAGAACTGAAGAATAAAAAACAAATGCAAAACATTAGCAAATAGCTAAGCAAATAAGTAAATAAATATTGTGTGCTGCCTATAAAGAAGACTAGACGTACAAATACATGCACACATACACACACGCACTACTAATTAACAATTGAATTATATGGTAATTAAGTACTCAACACTTGGTTGAGGGCTTTGTGGGGTAAAGAAAAAAAATAAATAGAAAAAAAATTGATTTGAAAATGTGGCGTCTATTTCTTTAAATTTTTTATATAAAAATAAAGAGATAAGGAGATTTCCTTTAAATATTTGCAATAATATTTTTTTTAAGTTCTTCCTTTTTATTTTTTTTTGGGTACCAAATAATTTTTTTTTTTCATTTTTATTTATTTTTTATAACCAACATCTCTGCAATTAAATGTGAGTTTTTTGTTGTTGTTGTTATTGTTATTATAATTGTTATTATATTTTTTTTCGCAACAATCTTACTAATGTCTTTGACTTTTGGTGGTATTCAATTACAAACAAACTTGTTGACTTTGACAGCCAGCAGCCGCCAAGCTATCAACACACAACTGCTATAATAATTAACAAAGCATTGATTTAAAGATAATTTACGATTGCATAGAGATTTCCTCACACCGATAAGGGTACAGCGTACACCAATACCATGGCAAATGTCATAACTCACCTGCTCCCCTCATCCTCCTTCTCAGAGCAATTCTATCAGACTATTAATGTCAATTTTTGCTAATTCGAATACCAGTTGCAATTGACTAGCAAACAACAACAACGAAAAAAAATTATTGTTGTTGTAATTTTTTTCTTCTGCTATTTGCACTACAATTGACAGGTTTCTGTACAACTCAACACACATTGTTGATTTTAGCAGCCTGCAATTCATAAATAATTATTTAGCCCCGATTTTGAGAGAGCGAAGCAGAAAAAAAATAAAAATTAAAATGTGATTGTTTAACAACAAAATGACAAAAAAAAACATAACAAGAAATATTTTCAAACATAAATAAAAAACACTTGTTTTAATGTCTTTCAAAACCGCTGTTTTTGGAGAACCTTAAAAATCCAGTTTTTTTTTAAATTTAACCCCTTCCCATTTGTAATTACCCGGCAGCAAAGATCATCACCTTTACCTTTTGGCTGACCAGCTGACAAGTTTATTTTGAACTTGTTTCTAATATTAAGACATTATCACATTCGAAAAAATCTTGTTCTTCCTTATGAAAAAAAAACGAAAAAGGCCCAAAATTTAGCGTGAGAAAATTTTTGAAAAAAAAATATTTTCATTTTTTTGCCCTTAAAATTTTTCACTTGAAAATTTTATTCTTTTGTGTGTGTATGCGAATTGGTCAAGTTTCATGTCCGGTCACCACCACCTTAAGGTCATTACAATTAGACAGTTTTGATGACATTTTTATTGAAAGAAAACTAGAAAATCTTGTTTTGTTTTTTTCTTTAAATCAATTTAAAAGCAAAACATTTTTAACCCCCAAAAGCAAAAAAGAGGGCAAATTTCAAGGATTTTATTATCTAAAGAAAAATAAAGGGGAAAAGAGGACACATTTCAAGGATTTTATTTTCTGAAGGAAAATAAAGGGGAACAAATAATGAAATAGAGAAAAAACAGGGAATTTTTCCATGAATAAAAAACGAAATTTCCTATTATTTTGTATTTTAGGAATAAAGAAAACCAATTCATAAAAATAAAGAATACTTTTCTGAATATTTTTTTAGAATTGCAAAGGAGTAGAAAAGTGTTTTTTTATTTGTTTAAAAATTTTTATTGGTTTTTGATTTGAAATCTAATGTTAAAAACGTTTCTTGTCTAATAGTTTTCACAAGTTCATAAAATCTAGGAAATTTATTCCTTATTTCCATGAATTGATTCCGTAATGTATTTATTTGTCTTCTAATTTATGTATGCTAGGAAATTGTACATTAAATCAATATACACTTTCCTATTAATTCCCAAACACAGCAAAGAAAACATTTTGAGACACCATGAGCTCATAAAATTTAGGAAATGTGTTCCTTAAGTCTAAGAAACATTTCTGAGAGGTATTTATTTACGTTCTTATTTATGAAATCCTAGAAAATTTGCATTAAATTCGGTGAACTCTTCTCATTTAATTGCAAATGAGCATCAAGAGATGAGTTTGAGACCCTATGTGTTCATAAAATCTATGAATTTCTTTCATTAATTCTATGAAATGTATTCCTTCATCTTCTATATTTCTTCAATCGTAGGAAATATACCTTGAATTCAATGAACTCTTCTCTATTAATTGCAAATGAGCATCAATAGAACATTTTGAGACTTTGTGAGTTCATAAAATCTAGGAAATTTGTTCTTTAATTCTATGAAATTTATTTCTTCATCATCCAATGTATGAATCCTACGAAATAACAACTTAATTCAATGAACTCTTCACTTTTAATTGCAAGTTAATATTTCTTTCCTAAAATCCCTTGAATTTAGGAAATATGCCTGAATATTAAAAATCATTGAATATTGAACTTTTCTTTCCTATTAATTTTAAATTCTCTCTCTATTAATTGCAATTGAGCATCAAGAGAACATTTTGGGACTTTATGAGTTCATAAAATCTAGGAAATTTGTCCTTTAATTCTATGCAATTTATTTCTTCATTATCCAATGTATGAATCCTAGGAAAGATCAATTTAATTCAAAGAACTCTTCTCTTTTAATTGCAAATCAATGCCTGGCGGACAGTTTGAGACCCTCCGTGTTCCTAAAATCTAGGAAATGTATTCTTTGAATTTAGTAACTTTTTTTTATTTTATGGCTGAATATTAAAAATCATTGAATATTGAGAATATTTTTACATTTCCGATTAATTTTAAATGTCTCAAACACATTTTCAAGAAATCCTTGTCACAAAATAATTTTTTTCCTATTCATATTTTCCATTTTAACACTCCCACAATTTTTTAGTGGATTTTTTTTCTCTCATTTTTAAATATATTCATACTAAATATTATCAGTTTAGGAAATCTTTTGCCAAACGTTGTTTGCCTTTAGGCATAAAACTCATAAATGTTTTAACAATTCCAGAAAAAAAAATCCTACAATTGTTTGCATATACAAAATGTATGTAGCTATGTTTTTTTTGTTTCTTCTCTTTGGATTTTTTTGTTTTGCAAAGTGTTATGATTGTAAGACCTGGCTGGCTTGGTTTTTTAAGGAACACACCTGGATTTTTTCTGCTTTGTAACGTCTTTTCTTGTGTGTGTTCCAAAGAAAACAAAAATATTTATGAATTGTCTAAACAATAAGACATGAGGCAAAATGCAAAAAAAAAAGAAGAGGACAACAAGAAGAGACATTGAAGTGAAATATGGAAATCAAGTAGCTAATGGTCAGTTTGGTCATCTTTCAAAAAAACAGCCAAAGAACATAGGGAAATTGTGAAGCAGCCAGTAGTTTGACCCTCATTATTTAGCAGCAATTAAAATAAATGTCCTTTTGTGTTCGTTTCGGGGTTGAAAGCTAGTTTCTTATTTACATATTGTCTACAGAAAAACTATCTTGTAGCTTCCCTTCGTTTTTCTCCTTGTAATGGTCAAGCATAAGGGCTGCCAGAAACCGGTTTTTAAGATTATCATTATGCCACTGACCAGTTCTTTGGCTGCCGCGACTGACCAAAAGTCCTGGGAAAAGCAGATTTATGGTTTGCCAAAGGTGTTGTATCTTTTGGTTATTAAATACAATTTTTTTCTACTTCCTTACTTCCTCCCTTACTTCTCTCCTTGCTTATCCCTTTTTGGGATAGTTGTTGTTGTTGAGATGCTGTTTCAAAATGTTTGTGGTTATATTTGGTAATATTTTGATTTTTAACGCATTGTGGTTTGTGAAAGCAATCTTTGCTTAGATTTTTATCTCATGGAGGGTAAGTCTCTAACTCCTTTAACACTAAGTCATCAAACACTTGAGGCAAACCAAAAAAAAAAAAAAAAACCTATTAAGCACGTGTTTCTCCTCGAGAGGCGAGGATGTCGAAGTTCAATATTTAACAGAAAAAAAGAACAATCACTTGATTGAATAAGTCGTGTTATTTTGGCTTTCAATTTGTGTTACACAATTTTAAAAGCTCTTAGACACGTGCAGTTGAAAGTGTGTTAAAAATTATATTTTTTTATTTAATAATTTCCTTACAAAGAATTGAATTTACTCACCTAACTCTCTCTCACACTCTCTCTTAGTTTTACTCTCATATTAAATTATTTATGTGAATTGGTTGTGTCTGCTCTTCTCTTAGCATTGTTTTGTTGTTTAAACGGTTGAGTGAGCGAGAGAGAAAATATAATTTAAAGAGTGCATTAATGCTTGAAGGGGCATTGTGCTTTGTTATTTCATAACTCAGTGTAGGTGTTAGGCTGGCAATTCTCATTCACTTGAAACCAAGTAAGGTATAGATGGCAAAGCTCATTGTTTACACTTTATTGCTTTAAATGCTTGACAAATTTTGCATTTTCTGTTGGCTTCTGGCCAAAGAAAATTTATGAAAGGCTTTTAATATTTTTTTGACAATTTTCAGTCATTAAATATTAACCACAAAATATTTTTTGTGATTTATCTGGCCACCAAAAAAAGTCAACATGTCTTTAACCTTGCTAAAATAATTATTTCGTTTTTTTTTTATATTTTATTATCCGCTGCATGTCATGGTGGATTTTCCATGCGGTTTTTAGCATTTACGGATTTTATGTAAATTTTTAATTAAAAGTAAATTTAAGAAATTTTTGTAACGTCAATAAAAAATTCAGCAAGCCTCGAACCATTCAAGCAAAAAATTTAAATTAAACAAAAATACATTTTTGCATTGTCTGTCTGCCTAGTGCTGAAAATATTAAGAAAACAATTTTTGTTGCTGTTGTTGGATTCATTGAAAACAACAACAACAGCGAAATTTACATACTATTCCGATTCGCCTAACAAAAGGGTTGTTTGTCTAGTGCTGACGTCTTTGGAAAAATACTGTCGCTTTCTTACGTTCAACAAAAAAAGTATCTTCTTTCCGAAGGAAATCATCTTTGCCATTGGAATTTAAGGGTTGCGGATTCGTTTTGTAGAACAATAGAGAGATTGAGATTGTCTGATTTAATTTCAACTTTTATTATGATATGTGGCATTATTTGGCAAGTTCGAGGTCTACAAAATGCTAGGAGAAGAAAGAGAAGGATGTGACAGGATATTGTTGGGCTTGATGGATGACAAAGTTGTGTCACCGGTTTGAAGGGGGTATTTTTTTCGTTTTTTGTTCGGCTATTGTTTTTAGTGTGATGTAGTGGTCAAAATAATTATTTTTTTTATTTAGGGAAGGTCGAGGTTAGGAAATTAAAAAAAAAGAATTAAAAAAAATAATTTTTTTCTTCAATATCTCCGTTCAACCTTTGCAATTTTGTTCACTCTTTAAAACTAAATTTCCCTCCCTACCACATTTTTTTACAAATTTACTAATTTCTCCCCCCTTCTTTTTCTCATTTCAGCTGTACAACGCGGACGCGTCCCACCCACACAACCCGGTCTGGCTGGCATGCACGGCCAATATCAGCTGGCCAATGGCGATCCGATGGGCGTGGCTGGCTTCAATGGCCATTCGTACCTTAGTTCCTATATTTCATTACTCCTGCGTGCCGAACCCTATCCCACCTCCCGCTATGGCCAGTGTATGCAACCAAATAACATCATGGGCATTGATAACATTTGTGAATTGGCTGCCCGTCTGCTATTCTCCGCCGTTGAATGGGCCAAAAATATACCCTTTTTCCCCGAACTACAAGTTACCGATCAAGTTGCTCTGCTGCGTTTGGTATGGTCCGAATTGTTCGTACTCAATGCCAGCCAATGTTCAATGCCACTGCATGTTGCCCCCCTTCTGGCTGCGGCGGGTTTACATGCCTCACCCATGGCTGCGGATCGTGTTGTTGCATTTATGGATCATATCCGCATCTTCCAGGAACAGGTGGAGAAATTGAAAGCTTTACATGTCGATTCGGCTGAGTATTCGTGTCTGAAGGCGATTGTGCTGTTTACCACCGGTAAGTTGTTGGATATCCTGTACAAGGATGTACCAGCACTGCTCACAAAAGTCTCACAAAAAGTGTGTTCACAAAGCTCGTCGAACACGAACAATGCTAGTCACAATTCCTCAGATAGTTCAAGTGAAGGTTTGCAATTAGCCGATGAGGTAATGATGGTGGTGAAGGATCATTTGGATGAATTGAATCGTTTGGAATCGGAGCAACAACAGCAGGCTGCTGCTGCCCTGCATTTGGCTACCTTTATGAAAACGGTGGCTGGTGTTGAGGCTGTGACACAATATTCCCTGAATCAGATCAAGGAAAATGTTGTGCCCAACAGTGTGGTGGAGGACAAATATGCCCCCACCTCAGCCTCGACCTCAACTGGCAGCAGCAGTATTGTGCCCTCGGCCACAAGTGCTTTTAGTAGCTGTGCTCCCTCTTCTTCGACTTCTGCCTCCTTGAAAGTAACTCCCAAGGTGCAAGAAGATGATCTCTTAACGGCCCTCTATAATTCGGCCAATAATCAAAATCACAATAACAACAACAACACCCAAAACAGCAGTGGTTTGGGTAATTCTCTTAATTCACAGTCGCTGAATTTAAGCCATTCTCCCGTGCATTCGAGTAGTTCGAATGCCATAACTGCCACGTCCAATGCCACCGTCACCACCACCACCTCCAACTCATCGAATACGTTAATGTCCAATGCCGCCGCCATGTTCTATCAAACACCGCCACGCTCCACTTTCGGTTCGGCCTTTGATATGTTCCATCATAGCACACCCTTTGGCATGTCACATGCTGCAGCGGCGGCAGCCGCAGCGGCCCATTCCTCCACAGCGGGAGCCGCGGCCGCCTCATTTGGTAGTCCTAGTTATAGATATTCGCCATATAGTTATGGCAGTAGATGGCAGCTGTAGATCGATTTTTTTTCTTTAGAAAATAAAATGTCATTTTAGTTTAGATGGCAGAAAAAAGAAAAACAAACCAAATCTCTTTAAACCAAAGTTCTCAGAAAAATTAAACAAATCCAAAGAAAACGTCCCCCTCTTCTCCCTCCCCAAAAAATACCCTTGTAAATTGATGTACTTAAATATCTCGCCTACTTATATTTTTAACTAAGTACCTGTAGATAGTTGTAAATTATTTTAGTTTAGTTTTTCTTTCTTCCTCTACTCTTCTTCTTCTCCTTTAAATCTGCTTCTAGTTTTTAGTGTTAAAAACAAAATTTAGTTTAGTTTCTAAATTTAGCAATTTCTTTTTATAAGTCAAAAAATGCAAACAAACAAACCTTAAAAATATTTTGGAAGACCTTAGTTTTTAGTTTAGTTTACATTTAAATTAAATTAGTGCCTATTTATTTATTTTATTCTTCTTCGAAAATTTTTTAAATCTAAGTTTAATTTATTTAATTGGAAAAAAAATCAAAAAAAGAATTTCAATACAATATATTACAAAAAAAAAAAACATAATTGGTGTTCTCTTTATTATATATTTTATTAAATATTTACAACAACAACAAATATTCAATGGTGTTTGGGAAAGAATACAAAGTCCTGTGGAATTTGGGTAATATTCTGACTAGAATATGGGAAACATTTTTAGTAATGAAAATGAACGATAATAAAAAAAATTGGTTTTGGGAAATCATTTAGATAAATTAATAAAAATCAAAATATATTAAAAAAAACAATTGGACAAAAAAATGGGTTCATAATTAAAAAAATAACAATTTTTGAAAATTCTAAATAATATTAAAAAAATTGTTGGATTTTTTTTTTAATGTTTGAAAAATTATAACAACATGATTTACTGTAAAAATGGTGTAGAATTTTTTTTGGATATTTATTTTGCAAATAAAATCATTTTGAAACCATGTTATATTTTGCCATTGGAATTTTTTTTATCGAAAAAAAAAATTACCAATAATGATATATCGACGCCTCCGAGCCATAGTATGCTAAGTCTGAAAACTGAGTTATTCAGTAGAAGTATGGAAGTTTCATATAACTTTCGGGCCATGCTAAGTACATTTTTGCTTATAACTTTGGATTGGCCGATGATTACCGAAATTTCAGAGAATATAAATTAAGGACCGTAGTATCTAAAAACGTAAAGAACTTTAAAACATGCTAAGTCGACTTAGCATACTATGGTTCGGAGTCGTCGATATATTGTTGAACTGCAATTTATTCCATCTTTTATTGGGTGTAAAATAAAATTTATTTAATTTAATAGTTGACAATGTTTCCCATTTCCGAATATTATTCCAATTTTCCATAATATTGAAATATAATATATGGACTTTAATTATGGTGTGGATTTTGTATGGTGGTAGATCTGTTCTTGGGGCACATAAAAACGACAAAACTTGCCAATTTTTATTTTTTTTTTGTTTTCAAACCATTTTTAAATTTTTTGAACATTTTATTTTATAAATTTACATTTTTTTAACGAAGAAAATATTCGCATTTAAATTGTAGTATTAAAAATTTTAAAAAAAAATATTAAAAAAATAAATAAAATTGTTTTTCGCATTTTTCAAACTATTGCAAAATATTGGCTTTAATTGTATGAACAGTTTTTTTCTCTCCCATAGTTGGGGATTTGTTCGTCTTTAGCAGATATTTTTAAAACAAACACAATTTAGAAATATTTTTCAAGTTTTTATTAAAATAAATTAATTCCAATGCAATATTTTTAATTTGATTTTAAAAATCTTCCATTGGAATTACGCACAGCCACTAATGGAAAATATTGTTCGTTCGTTTCTCTATGTCGAATGAAAATGGCCTTTATGAAAAATGTTATTTTATTCAATATAAAGTATATATATTTTTTTTTTAAATAAAAAATTCTTTCCATGCCAAAAATGTTTGCACATTTAATTTAATTTTAAATCAAGTAAAAAAAAATCATAGTTTTATTCTTTCCATGCAAATAATTTTTGTACATTAAATTTCAATATTAAATTCGATTTTAAATCAAGTATTCTTCAGAGTGATATTTTAAATTTCCTAAACGTGAAAACAAAATATTTAGGTAACATTTTTTTGTTCGACATACAGAAACGGCAACAGAAATTGGGTATTCTGAAATTTATGGAGACATGTTTTAAAATTTGGGACACTGACACGGCATCGACTTAATTAATACAAATATTTTGGTTTTGGTTTTGATTTTGTTTACTAACATTTAGTTTATTTATTTTTTATTTTTAAATTGTATTAACATTCTTTTATGTAGTTTTGTTGATTTTTTGTATTGTTTATTAATTGCTTTATTTGTTTAACAACAAAATACACTGATTTGACTATTTTTTTAATTAATTAATATTGATTTTTTATTTTATTATTATTATTTTTTTGAAATATATTAATTTCCATAATTTAATTTTTTTTATTAGTTTTTTTAATTCAATTTGTGTTAGTTTTTTCACAAAAAAAAAAAAAATACTTAAATCAGTGTATTTTCTTATTTTTATTAAATAATGGAAATATTCAATCAATTCTAATCAATTTTTTTTTAATTTTTTTTTATAATTTTTTAATGCCAATATTTTTATAATTAACCGTTTTTAATTTAAATTTTTTTATTCATATTTTTTTCTACAATTTTTAATTTATTCCTTAAAATGTTTTCTCTTGTATGTCAATATTTATGTATGTCATTATTTCCATAAAAAACTGATTTTATTTATTTAAAATTTCTAATTTTTGGTAATTTTTTTTAATGCTACTATTTTTTTAATTAACTATTTTTTAATTTATATTTTATTACGTATAATTTTTTTTACAATTTGTCTTCAATTTTTAATTTGATTTTCATTTTTGTTCCAACAAGTTCTTTATGTTATGATGGCTTTTTTTTTAATTATATAATCAATTTTTATTATTTTCATAACAATTAAATAATTCAATTTTTTATTTTCAATTTATTTATATTATAAAGATTTATGTTTATATTTATATACGTTTTGGTTTATTTTACTATTTTTTAATTTTTGCCATATTTCTCAACAATATAAAAAATTTCCATTATTCAATAAAAATAAATATATATTTCTTAAATAAATACTTATTTCATTTTAAACTCATTTCTTATATATTTTTTTAAATTTTTTAATATTTAACAAAAACACATATTTTAGATAAATTTATTAATTTCAATATTTTTCTCATCCATTTTTTTCAAACATTTATTAACATATTATTTTCTCTTTTTTTCCAAGCTTTTTTTACTAAATGCACAACACATTTTTTTCCATCACATTTTTTCATCATTTATTTTTTTTTTACATTTACACACACATTCATCATTTATGCACACATACATATATATATCCAAACATACACCTTTTTCTAACAGCCTAACCAAATTTACTGCCTAAGGATCAAGGTTTTCTGGGACACAATCGCACAGACATATACTCACACAACTACATCATCACATGCATTATTTTTATCAACATATACACACACACATGCATTTACTTCTAACAGCCTAACAAATACATCTATATGCACCAAAATTTTGGGTCCAGCTTGCATGAGTTTCAACTGATGGGGTTTTATGTGATTAACTAACTAACCCAACATACAAAATCCAGCCATCATACCAAGGATACTCAAGGAGTCCAAAACAGAAAAAAATCAAAATTTAAAGGAATTTCAATGGTGGAAGTTGGTTAATAATAATTTTGGTTATTTATTGTTGTTTATAATTTTATTTTACAAATATCATGGTTTGTTGTTATTGTTTTATTTTTGTATATATTGTTGTTTATTTGTTATTATAATTTATCCTATAGCTATTTACATATATATATACGAGAAACCAAGAAAAATAAATTTGTATGTGTATTTATTTATACAGAAAATATTTGAAAAAAATCTTATATTGTATTTTTATTTATTTTATTAAAATATTTATTATATAAATTAAACTTATGATTTATTTTCGAAGATTTTTGGGCAATATTTATACCCTTCACCACACTGTGGTACAGGGTATTA